CTTTTCACTCTTTTTAGAGCAGTGACTAAACATACTGTCAATACAGAGCTCTAGATCAAGACAAAAGATTCAACCTATTTCCACATCCGTGTTTTCCATTTTAAAATGTTAGTTTATCCAAAAATTTAAATTCTGTTATTTATTTTTCATCATCATGTCACTCCAAAGCCTTCGTTCATCTTTAAAGCACAAATTAAGACAATTTAAATAAATTTCAAGAGCTCTCTAATTTCGTCAAAGCCTAGAAAATACCAAAAACATTGCTAAAACATTCCATGTGACTTCACTGGTTCACAAAACTTTTCATATAAAGATCCTAGAATACTTTTGTGTGGCAAAAACTCACGTTAATATGTCCATACTACAATTATTTGACTATTTATTGGACTATTGTATGTTAACACTGTTCAATGAGGCTCCAATAGTCAACATCGGCTAATTTAACTAACCTCATAATGAAAACTACACTGTTAATTTATTAGTTAATGCCTAAAAATGGATTAAAATTATAGTCAAAATCAGATTAAAAAGTTGCAATCATTAAAATGTACCTCTTTGGAACATTTTAGGTGTTAAAATGACTGCTATTTATTAACTACAGACTAAATAAATCAGTATTTGGTTACATGAATGTAAATTTTAAATAAATTAGAGTGGTGTATACATAAAAAATTCAAACAAATAGATAAACAAAACAAATGCATGACTTTTGACTATTTTCTGAGATGAATATACTACCTAACATGGACTATTTTGCAGATTAACATTATGACAAGTATTTTAAACATATTTTACCTTGCAAACGTTGCTTTGGCTACATCTTATTGCCTTCAAAACATCTAAAGTTTCAATTTTGAATAATTGAGTTTCAAACAGGGCTTTGATACACACAAGCAATTGTGTTAAAAAGTGGTTCACGCAAAGGTTAATGGTTCTAACTTCAATGTCTTGAGAGATAAATTAGAATTCAAAACTGGCTATAAGACAATAACATTTAAATAGCAATACCAGCAGCTGGCTCTTTCAAGTCATGAAATAATGACAGCGATGGTCATGTCACGTCATTGAGAAGTGCTTTCTACATCAGTTACCTCTGACATAAATGCTCTAAAAGCATAAAGTTAAACCACAAATTGCTGAACCGACATGTCATTTCCACAATAGATGAATAGACTATAAACTCACATATTTTATATTGTTTTAATGGTTATAAGTATAATGCCTGCTCAGGGTTCTGGCCCTTAGATTAATTTCAGTCATGGCCCACAGATTATTATAGGGTCATAAGTAGGATGAATTTCAACCCTGAGAGTCTCTTTCTGCTTTTATGAGGTATTCCTTCAATAAAATACAGTAGAGATTCTGGACTATCTTTTCACAAATGATTTAAAGGAGAAAAATGGTTATTGACACGTTATCTAAAACATTTCTGATCTTATCAGATATTAAATGAATGTACTTGATCTCTCTGTAGGTAGAGGAAAGATAAAATAAAGAACACTACCAAGGTTTTACCCCCTAAAATGTGGTAGATGAGCACAGACAGGGGCATTTGTGTATGCAAACTCACGATCACATCAGCTACCAGGAGAACAGAAACATTGGCTGATTGCAATCCATTTGCAAATCATTTGAGATTGTCAGAAAAACTGACACGGGCCACCGAGCTTAACGGCAAAGACAGGTCTGACTCTTTCCATTATGACTATAAGACACGCCTGGGCTGTTTCACAATTTCATGCTTTTGCTTTGTCGGCAGTATCAGCCCTCGGTGGACCTCTGGGAGCTATTTTTAACACTATATTGTGCAGTCTGTGCCAATATGCAGCCCTTTCAAAATTGGCCATGACATCTAAAAAAACTTGCTATGCAAACCATGTGGCTAAATAACCATCAAACAGAAATGTGGTTCACAGAAATGTGTCACGGAGAGGTTGAACAATTAACAAATAATGCATTAGGAATGTTTTGATAAAATAAATCGAAATTGTAAAAAAAGTTCTTGATGTACTGAAGCATTTGTTTCAGTGTAGTTTGTGAATAAACCATTCTTTTGAGGCAAATCTGATTAAAAAAAATATCGGTTGATCTTTTTCCACAAAATTGGTCTGAATGTTTGGTCTACAAATCAGATTCTTAAGTTCATTTCACAACTCATTGTTATTAGATTATTAGAAGAACTACTTCACAAATTAGTAATATTTAAAAATGTGCATAGTTTGCATGTTCTCCCGGTGTTCACGTGGGTTTCCTCCAGGTGCTCCAGTTTCCCCACAGACCAAAAGACATGCAGTAAAGGTGAATTGGCTAAGCTAAAATGTCCGTAGTGTATGTGTGTGAATGGGAGTGTATGGGTGTTTCCTAGTGATGGGTTGCAGCTGGAAGGGCATCTGCTGCGTAAAATATATGCTGGATAAACTGGCGGTTCATTTTGCTGTGGCGACCCTGGATTAATAAAGGGACTAAGCCGAAAAGAAAATGAATGAAATATTATTTTAGAATTATCATATGCAATATTGTATATTGTGTTGTATATTATATGTAATACTGGCTTACATTACAGAAAAAGAAAACGAGCAGAAAACATTCTGAACAACTGACTGAGTCATGACTGAATTATCACAGCAAACAGAATGTTCACCAACAAATATAAATGTTCTGGGAATGTTATCTGCAGATGCCTTTTATTTTTGGTGACTAAAAAATGTAAAAACTCAATGGTAAAACTAAAGCAAAGCAAACAACCTAACAACTAAACAAAAGCACACACAAACAATTTCATTGCTTCATACTGTAAATGAAATGTTCCAGAAACATTCTCCTAACCTAAAAGCAATGTCCTAAACAATGTTCTATGGGCCATTATAAGTATGGTATAATTGAGTAATTAATGCCTAAAAATGGGTTAAAATCATAGACAAAATCTAATTACAAGTCGCAATTGTTTTAGCCAAGAAAATCTGAGCCTCTGGTAAAATTACTGCTATGTGTTTAAAAATAACGAAATAAATCAATATTTACAGTTAGATAATTCCAAATGAATAGAAATAAAAACTATTGACTATTTTCTGAAGTGAAAATAAACTTCTTTGCAGATGTACATTATGACAAGCACTTTTACTTCTATTTTATATCTTAGAAGCGTTGCTTTGACCTTGTATACATCTTGTTAACTCCAAAACTTCAATGTTGAATAGAATTTTAAATTTATTTATTTATTATTTATTTATTTGACAGCAACATCACAATTACACCGGACAACCAAATGCATTTATCTAAGTGTTTTAGCAAACTTGCTAATTCTCAACACCAAGAGGCTTAAAAAATTAACAAAATGGAAATAAAATAAAAACACATACACAACATTACAATTTTTTACATAAAATTACTAAAAGGCAAAAGCAAAGGTGACACGATCAAAACAACTAACAGTAGACTATTTGTGCAAACACTGCTGTTTTGTTTTTAACCACTTTTTAAAAACACTACTAAACATGTTTATTACTTTCTGATTTTAAGCTAACCGGTAAATCATTCCACAGTTTGGCTTCCTTTACAGAGAAGACAGATTGACTAAATGAGGTCTTACACTTTGGCACTAGACAGTCACTATTAGCAGTTGCCCGTGTAAATCTGTGGGAGGTTTGAAATAAGTAATTTGAACAAACAGCAAAAGCCCATTTTTTGAACATAGGCATGGGCCGGTATAAGTATGGTATAGGGGTACATGGGACCGGTTTCATGGTATTGTGATTACTGCACTAAAATTAGTTTTTTTAAATGTCTGGGTAAAAAAACAGCAACTTTTTCTCTATATTGAATACAACATATTTTATTTTAAGAAACATTTAAAATATTTTGGACCAGTAGTTTTTAATGTGGAGGGTCCTTTTCTGTTGGAGATCCTGTTGCCCTAAAAAAAAACAAAAAACAAAAACTGGACATATAGCGTAGGAACGGTAAAACAGAAAATTCTGGCAGTTTTAAAACTGACCTCTGCAAACCGCGGAATACCTTGAAACCGGTTATCATCCCATGCCTGGTTCTGGGAAACAGAAACTAATGTTCTCAAAACATTCTGTCAACCCAAAGTTATTAGCTTGAATACTGCTCTATGGCTTTCATAAACCTAACCAAAATGAACCATGTTGTATCATTACATTAATTTAGTAATTAATTTAGAAATCTTTTGAAACCTTTCAAAACATATAATGCCTTACGAGAAAGCTGTGCATTACGTTATCATCAGTTTCTAAGTACAAATCTGTCTTTTCAATAGATGTTATAATTTTAACTGCCATTCATCAATTTCTGAGGTAAAGAAGAGGAAACAGAACGATAGAAGAAGTGAAGGAAAGTCGGCAGAGATACAGAAAGCAAATCTGTCCATAGATGAGGTTTATGCAGCTGGTTATACCATAAGATCGTAATCTAAACGTTCCTTCAAGACTCTTCTGACCACTACTCAGTATATATGAGGACAAACATTCCTCACACAGTAGCAGAAAGCGTCTCATATTTCTTGCCCGTAGGGGACATTAAATCTGGTAACTTTTAAATACGTTCAGATACATATTTCAGTCTTATAGCACAAGAGACTGCGGTCATGGTTTATGTATGCATATCTGAAAACCACATATGTATTAGCGTATTAGCCAGCGGCTAAAATAGCATTCTGAATTTGTAAAACTATACTCGTGTATCTTATTGCTTTCACAGCAGCATTATTGACAGAATTATGGTTTGGAATTCAAAGTTAAAGCTAGGGATGTAAAAACGCTTCCCCACCTTTAAAATCCCCAGTAAAAATGAACTGGAAATGAATCCTTGAATTTTCATAAGCTGTCATTAGCAATGAGGTGTATCACTAAGCGAGTCGAGCCATTTGGATCCAACATTGAACTGTGGTCTTCTGCATTAATACATTGAGCAGATGGCGAGTGTGCTGGTGTCTGTTGTGAGTCAGAGATCACATATGATGAAGAACCAAGAGCCGTCAATCACATCTCTCACAGAAATACTCTTTAATTTTTGATACAGGACAAAAAAAAAAAAAAATCAGCAAATGAACGTGCATGCCTTTACTATGTTCTCTACAGTATGTTTAGTACATAAATGATTCTATTGATACAAAATATAAAAATATGTGGTACATCATTTACAGATAATTTACATTACATCCTTAACTTAGTGTATTTCTTCATTAATTTGCGTATATACATCTTATTAAGGGGCATTAAACCCAAAGCGAACACCATACAAAAAAACATCACTGTGCCTGAATGGATTACATAGAAAAAATTGCACATTAGCTGTAACGAATGCGGCAACAGTGCTGCAGATTGAAGAAGTCCTTAAAAATAAAAGTGTAACATCCAGATTCATTTGTAAATATCACATGGGAAGCATGCATATGCAATTGAGCCGTGAGCAAATTAATTTACTGCGTATTATTCACTGGTAACCTCACAACACTGAAAAGCCTTTCGAACTATATTGACGGAGAAGAAAATCTTGTGCAATGTTGTGCAGGACTCAGCAGCAGTTGTGACTTTCAAGATATAATGCAGTTCTTGCTCTTCCTACGTTTGCGCATATGTAACTGTCCTCGACTGCCGAATTGACCGGATGCTCCGAGTCCTGAAGAGTTGTATTTGCGTAGCAGCTCTTCGCTAGTCATGTGCCTCAGTTGGATGGGTCTGGGAATTGGCTCACCCAGAAAATACCCTTCATCTTCTGACTCGGAAGATGAGGAACATGTGGAGCACCAGTCGTCATTGTAATCATACTGATCCCACGAATAAGGACCCTGGTGTCGGTGGAGAGCGGGGTTTTGAAGCGTGAGGTCAGAGGTTGTTCGAGGGCAAGGTCTGAAAGGCTGTTGCCTCAGTCTGCCACTTCCGTAAGTGTCCCGAGATCCACGGGGAAGAGGGAACTGGTCGTAATCCTCACGAGCATGAAGTTGAGATCGTTTCGGAGCTGGGCGGCGTTCAGCGACTAAGTTGAGTGCATTGTCTGAACGGGATCGCCTGGAGCGGCGGGAGCGATGGTGGTGGTGTCGTCTGCGTGGCTCTTCGTGATCTATACTACGACGGCGGGTGCGTTCGCTCATTGGTGGTAGACGAGCATTATTGGCGTTGCTAACCAAACTTACGCGATCTTCCTCCTGATAGGCAAAACCAGGCGGCAAAGCATTAATTCCAGAAGGTTCTCGGGGGTATTGCACAGGAAACCTGACTTGGACCGGAGCTTCGAGCTCCAGGTAGGGCTGAGCCGAGTTCAGGCTGCGCAGAGATTCAGAGCTGTGGAACTGCACAGAGGAGTTGAGGGTGCCCATGTTGCTCTTTTCAGACACGTTCATGCCAGAATCTTTACTCAAGTCCGGCATTGAGAAGCGAGACAAGTGCTCCTGCCTTTTACTGCCGCCATCTGCAGAGGTGCCTGTAGACAGGAAACACATGTTGCATGGTTGTAATATTTTCTTGCATTTTAAACTAAGTGTGGCATTAGTTGACAAATAATTACATCCTCTGAGGCAGCATTTTAAAGAGCGTAGCTTATGGTAATGTCCGGTGTTTGTGTTCTGGTTGAAAAAAAATGCTTTCGTTTCAGTGGACAAACCAAAACTGGCACTTTTGAAAACAACATTAGCTCCCTGATTGGCTCCCCTGGATCATTGCCTATCTATCCCTCGACTATATACTAATAACCATTGAATGATGAATTCAATATTGAATTTATTTGACCAGCCTGGAGACAGGACTGTAAGCTATGTTTACTTTTTTGCCCATCTTAGAAGTCATTTTTGAGCGGTTAAACTCAGGATTTTATAATGCTGCAGCTGCCTACACATTCAAGAGGCAATTTTGGGTTAGACCAAGACGCATTTTGGGTTAGCCCTTTCAGTCATGTGATGTTGATGGAGATCTTTTTTTAAGTGATGTGGAAATGCCGGTATTGGTCACTGTGTTGAAATGAAAATGAACTTAACCCTTTTTACACCTAGCAAGAGTTGTTTCATGTGTCCAATATATAGAACTTGTTGTGAAATGTTTTCCATGGCAACATGTAATTTTATAATGTGACCTTTACTGAAAACATTGACAAAAGCTCTAATTATATTGTTAAATGGCAGCATGGCGGCGTAGTGGGTAGCACAATCGCCTCACAGCAAGAAGGTCGCTGGGACAGTTGGCATTTCTGTGTGGAGTTTACATGTCCTCCCGTGTTCTCGTGGGTTTCCTCCGGGTGCTTCGGTTTCCCCCACCAGTCCAAAAACGTGGTATTGGTGAATTGGGTAAGCGAAGTTGTCTGTAGCGCATGTGTGTAAATAAGTGTATATAGATGTTTCCCAGAGATGAGTTGCAGCTGGAAGAGCATGCACTGCATATGCTGGATAAGTTGGCGGTTCATTCCGCTGTGGCAACCCAAGATTATTAAAGGGACTATCCAAAAAGAAAACGAATGAATATATTGTGAAATATCTGATATTCTAATTCTCAAATATGCGTCAAAACATGTATCTTGTCATTTAAACAGCTTAATGATGATATTATACAATTTTAAGGGTAATGGGCGCTGTCATGTTAGTTTTTCTGAGTTGCTTTGGCTCAATTCTCGATTGAAATTTTGTTTTCCGAAACAATAAGTTAAGTTCTCTGAACAATTATATTATTGCTCACAACAGATTGTGATTTCTTATTAATTTAGGCCAATTGCAAAGGCTTTATCTTTTGGTGGCCTTGACCAAAATACTGAAACAGTAACTAGGTTTTGAAGCATGAATTAAACGTTTTAGGCGTATAAAATACATTTTGCAGACATGCAATAAAGTTCTGAAGTTCCAGCAAACCATTTTGAGATTTGCACTCACAGATTAGATTGTTAAGTCTGTTTTGAAAAATGTGCCAAAGCAATTAAGAAAAACTGTAGTCTGTGGTGCAGTGGAGAGATTCAAGCTTCTTAAATTACAACATATTAATTCATCATCAACTTCTGCTGAAGTACATGAAAGTAAGTGGCTGTTTAAATAGGAGGAGAATATAGAATAAACGTTTTAACAAACTGTGCATCTGATATGAATACAGCACATCCTCTGATTATGTTAAAAAATAATTATTGCTGTCTCCATAGACATCAGCATGTATTTTACAAAACAAATGTTATATTTTGCAAGTACTTAAGTGTATTTAAATGTCTGAAACCTAAAAAAGTTGCTTGATTGAACTGTGACAAATTGTCATTAATAACAAGCACTGCCTGTGTCTTTTTGTGGCTCTAGATCAGCCATCGTAGGATAGCAGATTTTAATTTAACAGCTGATCATGCAAAGCACCAAACCTTTTAGTCATGTGTGATTGTATGCATCAAAGGGTTAAATGAGTGCAAGACTCTAAACTGGCATTGTAAACGTAGATACAAACACTTAAAGGTACATCAAATGGGCAAAACAAATACCTTAAATGTAGTACATATAAGTATCTAAAGTGTACATATTAGTACCTTTTGGCTTTTCTATCCTAGAAACCCAAATATTCAATAGACACTACTTTGCAAAGGGTTGTGGTTGGTAAGATATGCTGACTTTAAAATGATGTAAACATTAAAAAAAAAGTACCTGTAGCATTAGATAGAGCCAGTGACTCCATAGAGCCGCGTGGTGTTTGTTCCAGTGGTGTGAGCTGTTCACTAAAGCCAAGTGCACTGATGGGGTTCCTGCTGCGGCTCATCTGTGGCCCAACATCCTTTTCCTTCTCCCTCTGGAACACATGCAGACTTACAGAGCGCTTATCCATGAAGCTGTTGTGTGGAACCTCGTTAAAGCTCGCTTGGGTTCGCAGTGCAGGTGGATAATAGTCCTCTGGTCCCTGCTGGAACCAGTTCTCATTCAAAGACTTCCCTTTTAGAGCAGATACAGGGGGTCTCTTAGAAGACGCAGGCTCCTTGGGCCTTGGATCTGATAGGTGACCAGGGGACAGATTTGAGGAATAGGAAGTCCGAATGTTGCACTGACTGAGCAAATGAAGAGGATTTGTGGAGAGTTCATTACGACCCTCATATCCAAACATCTCAGCCTGCGTCTTCCAGGATGGAGATTCTCGATTTAAGCTAGGAGTTTGACTGGACAGACTGAGCAAATCCATTTGCAGAGACAGTGGGTCAACATCAGCAGAGAAACGCATAGCTGAAGCTTTCCCACTCTGGTGTCCATCTCCTCCACTTCCTCCAGTACTGCTCTTGTTGGATTTGGAGCTGCTGCGACGGGCTTCACGTGAACGGGCGCTCTGAAATGCAGAATCTGAGGAATCAGAGCCGTTTTGGTCATCGCCGACACTACAAGCCCGAGAGCAGAAGATCTGACCCTGCTTGGGTAGAAAAGGACGACCGAGCAGAGACTTCTTACAGCGAGCACAGCTGAAACAAGCCTCTGTGGCATGCCAGTGCTGACCATCATACGTCATCTGGCCCTGGTCAATACCTGCACAACCAGTACATAAATAAATTAATATATTTATATATTATTTATAAAGACAATCTTAGTACATGAAAAATAAATATTAACAGACAAATGTGTTTCCTAAATACATGATTTGCATTTTATTACTTTAAAAAAATAATAAAAACTACATTTTTAAAGACAGAAACATAGCAATGAAACATTTTTAATAACAGAAAAAATATAACATTTTTCTACAGAAATTCCAATAGTCCTAGAAAATGCTCCAAAAAGCCACTCAACAGCACTGTGTGAACATTTAGTGATGTTACATAACCTTCAGATCTTGTGCACTTGAAATGACTAAGTAAACAAGTATAGAACAAAGAGGTTTTTGATGGATGGCGTGGCTCTGGTGAGGTGTAGATGTGTTTGGAGCAAACTGATTATACGGTGTGCCACATATTGCAGAAATGCATTTGATTTTAATCACAGCTCTCTTTAAGCAGCCACGCTCTAATGGACAACATCTGTTTTGAAAACTCGCCCTGATGCTTCCTGTTTATAATCAGTTTCACCAATTTACTTTCTGTGGTCCTGTGTGGAAAGTAATTCCGGATTGAATTTCTCTGAAACCGGCTGCCAACTGCTGAACGTGAACGCCAGACTAAACTATCGTCTGCAGCTCTTCTCTTTTAATATGTTACTGAAAGACAAAAAGCAGGATCAACCGTCTCCTGACCACGTTTTATTCTTACGTTTTTTTGTTACGACCTTGCCTAACCTTGTAAAATGCTAGAATTCGATCATTTTCAGTACACATATTGACTGTGGCACATTCAGAAGTGTTGACAAAAGATTACAAATATTAATACTATTAGTATTATTATTATTATAAGCGGCAAGCAAAGACTTTATTTTGTCAATTACGTAGAAACCATGAGTATCCTAGAGGGTTTATTCAAGTTAATGTATGATTATATTATATTTGTCAATATAATTTGATTGTTTTATGACACATTCATCATCTAGCAGATGCATTAGTGTTGACAAATGTCAATAATGGATGTTCCCTGTTGAAAACTATTGGTAAATCATGTATATTCTACAATAGGCTTTATTCAAGTTACTATATTTGCATTTTTTGCATAATTTTGCACAATTTGCACTTATTTAGTGTAGTACATGCATACATGTTGACAAAAGTTTTCAAATATTCATAATCAACAAGGCCCTTTTTTCAATTACAGAAAAATCTGGATTGTAGAAGAGGTTTTGTTCAAGCAACTATAAATAATTTGCATTTTTATATAGATATTTTAAAATAAATTATAGTATATATATATATATATATATATACTTTAATATAATATAGAGTTATCATTCTTAAATAAAATATAAAAAAACAACTGTTTTGTTTGCAGCTCTTCTTCATTGAATATCTTAACAAAAGACTAAAAGCAGGTCAGCCAGTAGCTACGATGTAATGTCTGCAAAAGCAAAGTGGACCAAACTTGCATGGACACTGAGAGGATTTCAGGTCGTCACTGATGGATGGGCTCTTACCGATGTGTTCCCCGCAGGAGTCGCAGTATTCGGCATACAAGGACTCGAAGCAGGTGCAACAGTAGGGCCGACCCTCCTTCATGATGTAGCGCTGGCCGCCCAGAACTGTCTCGCACTCGAAACAGCAGAAGTGCTTCATGTGCCAGTGCCTGCCCTCGGCCTCTGTGCACTCGTCTGCTAAAATAATCTAAGAGACACAAGCAGAAAAAAAGAGTCAGGTGCTGTTTCTGCACAACTCTATTATCACTACACAGATGAAGTTCTGTAACCATGGTAATCATGCAACATATTCGGCAGCCTTAACATCAAATGAGGACTAGAAAAACATCATTGTGTGCAATCTTTAACTACACAATAAAAGATTTAAAGGTGTGGTTACATTTACTTTAACAACAAAAAGAATGGTCCCATTAGTGAAATTGCAGGAAGAAAAGGTCTATTATCTATCGTGACTAATGATGTATGAAGCATTGCTTTTAAACAAAGCAGCTTTCTGTTGGTTGATGCTGCAAATTCAATTCGATTCAGTTCCTCCACTAAATTTCAGGAATCAGATTTCATATTGGAATTAGTTTTAATTAACTCCTAACATGGTTTTGCTAAATCTTGACACAATGAAGACCTCTGGTCATGCGAAACTTAAGATTGATGAGATCTCATCTGGAATTTGCCTGCTAGAAGAGGAACAATAAATGTGACCACAATTTAATGCAGTCAAATTTAATTAACATCAAGTGTTTTTGACACAATTATGAACATACAACTTCTTGTTCAGACTGATTTAAGTCAACAAAATTTCTCAGAGAAATGAGAAATAAAACCATATAAGCAACCAACAAGTAACCTCAATAGGAATCAGATTTTGTTATCATTCAAATTTGTTTGATTTTTAAATAAAATCTGACTCATTTACTACAACAAAGCTGCTTGTTTATAAGTGAAAAATTATTTCTATGTTCTTTGTAACAGTGTGTTTATAAGCGTCTGGTACATACGAAGAGGAAAGAGAGCATCTCCTACAGGAGGTTTCTCAAGCCCACTCACAGGCATGAACCAAGCTCAGAATTGCATATTGCTTTGTGTAGAATCATAAACTGTTTTATAAGGAAGTGTCTGATGCTTATAGAGAGGAAAGAGAATTTTAGGAATTTTATATCTTGTAAAATAAGTGGTCAGTAATAATTCATAAATTCGAAAGCGAACGTAAAAAGCAACCACATCCAAAAGCAGCTTCAGTATCCCACATTTTAAAAGCATCTGCCTGATGCAATATATTTACATTATTTTCCACTTTGCTACTATACATTTTTACTTATTTTTATACACTCACTTTATTAGCTACACCTGTCCAACTGCTTGTTAATGCAAATTTCTAATCAGCCAATCACATGGCAGCAACTAAAATCATTTAGGCATGTAGACATGGTCAAGACGATCTGCTGCAGTTCAAGCAGAGCATCAGAATGGGGAAACAAAATGATTTAAGTGACGTTGAACTTTGACATTTTGTTAGTGCCAGACGAGCTCATCTGAGTACTGGGACTTTCACGCATGACCATCTCTAGGGTTTACAGAAAATGGTCAGAAAAAAAAATTAAAATATCCAGTTAGATGCAGTTCTTTGTGCGCAAATGCCTTGTTTATGCCAGAGGTCAGAGTAGAATGGCCGGACTGGTTTGAGCTGATAGAAAGGCAACAGTAACTCAAAGAACCACTCGTTACAATAGAAGTAGGCAGAAGAGCATCTCTGAATGCACAACACGTCCAACCTTGAGGCGGATAGACTACAGCAGCAGAAGAACACACCAGGTACCACTCCTGTCAGCTAAAAACAGGAAATTGAGGCTACAATTCACACAGGCTCACCAAAATTGGACAATAGAAGATTGGGAAAACATTGCCTGGTCTGATGAGTCTCAATTTCTGCTGTGACATTCATACGTTAGGGTCATATTTGGCGTCAACATAAAAGCATGGATTCATCCTGCCTTGTCTCAATAGTTCAGGATGCTAGTGGGGGTGTAATGGTGTGGGGGATATTTTCTTGCACACGTTGGGCACATAATTACAAAGCTGAGCATTGTGTCAAAGCCACAGCCTACCTGAGTTTTGTTGCTAACCATGTCCATCCCTTTATGAACACAGTGTATTCATCTTTTGATGGCTACTTTCAGCAGGATACATGGAACTCTTAAACATGACAATGAGTTCACTGTACCCATATGGCCTCCCCATTCACCATATCTCACCATAGCACCTTTGGGATGTGGTAGAATTTGAATCACGGGAGATTTGCATCATGGATGTGCAGCCAACAAATCTGCAGCAACTGCGTGATGCTATCATGTCAATATGGACCAAAATCTTGTATCTTGTTAAATCTATGCCATGAAGAATTAAGGCAATTCGCAAGGCAAAAGTGGTCCAACCCGATACTAGTAAGGTGTACCTAATAAAGTAGTCGGTGGGTGTAATATATATATATATATATATATATATATATATATATATATATATATATATATATATATATATATATATATATATATATATATATACACTTTTCTTTAATGTTTTAATTTGCTCCATGTTAGTTTTGTTCATAATTTATCCAACAAGCATTTTTACAAAGGACTGAATCCAAATATCTGCAATGTTACATTTAGTAATGATGATTATTTTTAGCATATAGAAACTCATGTCCAGTAATGTCAATGTGAAAGTGTCTAACCTCATCACAGGCTGAACAGCGGGGTTTGAGTCTCTCTGCATGATGGCGACCGCAGAAGATCTTCCCGTCCTGGTAGAAGTAGATCAGATCCACCAGCAGCTCATCACACATGCTGCACACAAAGCACTGGGGGTGCCAGCAAACACCATGACCTGCTCGTGATGCAAAGACCGCAATGTCACCTCCATTGATCTGTCCTCCACACTGAAAATAAGAGAACAGTGGGAGGGAGAGAGTTACAAGACAGGAAGGAAAGGGTTAAAAAGAGGTGTGTTGACATTTACGGCTGATTTAGTAGCAGGGTAACCTGTTTACAGTTCAATTTGTCGTCCACCAAATGATTAGCTGAAGTTCTTATATAAAAAAGTGACCACATTATTTATTAGTGACTGAAAATATTACATTAAAAATACATCTTAAGAGGATTACATGTGTGCTCCAGGCTAAATATTTATGTATTTTTTTCAATTCCTCATTAAATTCTCTTAAATATCTTCATCAAATGTAATTATTTTATGACATGATAGTCATCTTTATTGTATTAATCTAATAAAATATTTCTTATCTTTATTTAATAACAACTAAATCATCAATTTCATTGTATTCTGTTTGATTAAATATATAGCCTTTTCTTTAAAAACAAAAACAAAAAAAAAACCATCATCCTGCCATCAAACTTGTGTTAAAATATTTTTGCACATCTAGCATTCTGAAAACATTGTGACCACCGTGCTGAATCTAAGAACAGAATGCAAGAGCTGATATTAGCTGCTTTCTCCATTAAAGGCCCCTTCAGCATTTTTCAATATCATGTGCTACGTCGAGACTCAGCAAATGTTTAATGGGACAGACAGATGCATGAATCTCCACACAAACACACACACTTGTACATTATTTGCCTTCGAGACCAATATTTATTAGAAAGACTGCATCTTTCTAACTGCAGTGGGGGCTAAATGGAGGGCTTCACGTGTTTCACAGATACATTTCAAACATGAAAAAAAGACAAACTGTGTCAGTGTGACATCTGTTCCTGAGAGGTAGCAGAAGGGGAGAGAAACAAGGCAGGTGGTCACAGACATGCATATCCAGCTTAGACTCAGCTCTAATTCACTTACTGGCACTAACATGGTATCCCAGGTGGGCGACACACACACAAACCTACAGAGGAAGCCTTAAAACTAAATATGAAAATATGCATAAGTTTCAATGAACTAATGTTATCTTGATACTTGAAATTCTAACTTTGACAAGAACAATACACACAAATGACCACAACTTGATATCATCTTCAAAACCATGAGGAAATGCATGTCTTAATTTATTTATTTTTGAGGTAAGGCATGTCTCAATGCTACAGACTTTTATTATTGGTCCAGTCAGGCCAGTTGTTTAGATATTTGCTTGCCCTACCCATACTTTCTCTTGTTCAGCTGCCGTGTAACATTCTGATAAAGTATGCCATTTAGTATGCTAATAGATTTCGCGATTCTTAATTACAATCTCAGTATTAGAGAAGAAACTACTAACCTAAATTATACAACGTTAAAACATTGTGACAGAGGAGTGAACAGTCAGTAATAAGCACATTAAAAGTAATGAGCAAAATACATCAAATCACACAAATAAACACAATAGAACAAATATACATATGATCAAGAGACACACAAACTTGCAATAGAAATGATTCTCTACATGTAAACTGAAATGGGCTTTTACTTAATTCATATATTATTTGCAAGAACATTTTTTCCTATAGTTAAAGGCAAAAATATAAGGTCTGTGATTTTTAACATTTCCTTAGTATCTACACACACGCACACACGCACACACACACGCACACACACACACACACACACACACACACACACACACACACACACACACACACACACACACACACACACACACACACACAGTACAGTTCTCTCTGGTTCTTGAATCTGATTGGCTGATAGTTGTGCAATATTCTGCAATATCAGAACTCGTCACTCTTCTGTAATACTCCACCCACATAGAGTGACAGCAGAACAATAAACTCACTTCAGTTTGACAAATATTGCAGCTGTTGGACAACATAATGTACTTTTGAGACTTTTTAGGTGAGATTGTAGCTGTTTAGACTGCAACTATGCAGTTTATTTATAAGGATAGTGCCTATTTAAAATGTTTATAATCACTGAGATCCACCACCATCCACAAGATGGCGACAAAGAACACACAATAAGCCCTTAGCGGAGAAAAACCCAATGTAGTTTTAAATTACAGCTTATTAAATCATTATAAAACTGCTAAGTGTCTTTCTTGTAGTTGTAGTGCATTGAGTGTGAGATAGGACTCTGATATCAGGATTGTATATATTTTGTGTTGGCCACTTTGTATAACCCTGAGTTACTTTTTTGTTGGCCATCTGTTTGTTTCTAGTGAGTCTCCTGTTTTCGTTACAGCAGAATTTAATACTACTACAGAATTTAATTTAAATAATAACTGCATCTGGTAGTGTTAACGTTGTTCAGGGTTAATTGTTGTGATATCTCGATTGCAACAGAAAAATACTGGGAGATTTCTCTGTAGATTGGTGGCATTTCATGCTGTTCAGCCTTATAATCGTAAAATGTGAGCAACGTCTCCTGTTTTGTCATCATTTTAGACATTACGCTAGAGAATCATTCAAACATTAGCTCTAAAGTGACATTTGTGAAGTAGCCATGGTTTCTGCTGTTCTGACATCAGCTGCAGATGTGAAAGAATGGCCGAAGAAAGTAGTTCTTACAAAAGGGTTTTTAGACTTTCTGTGTTTGATCTTTCTATATACATGATTGTGCTGTCAAATTGTTGTATAAATGCAATATCACATGAGTAGAAGTGCGATACGGCTATATATCATCATTGGTGGGACACTAAGGCACACCTCCCAACAGCACCAAAATACAGCCATATCACCTGATATATATTTTTAGTATTTCAATTGGCCATTGTTCAATGACTTGCTTAATGAACCTAGATTACCCAGTTAACTTACTGGAATTAAACCAGTTAAGCCTTTAATAGCACTTAATACTAGTATCTTGAAAAATATCTAGTAGAATATTATGTACTGTCACCATGGCAGAGAAAAAATAAATTAGTTATTAGAATTTATTATTAAAAATATTACATTTAAAAATCTTCTCTCCATTTAACTGCAATTTAGAAATACTTGAAAAAGAATAATTAATAACTTTAGGTCTTCAACTGTATACTCTTAGGACAGCAGTAAGGCCACTTCTGTTTTCTTAAGGGAATACATATAAAAACTGATTTCTAGATTGACAAATCTCACAAAATGATTTGAAATATGCCGTCTTTTTCCCACATTTATTTGTCTGTTCATTTAGACAACTAGTTGGTGTTTCTGCTGATAAACATCTCTAATAAATAATATATCCACCTGTTCACAGATGGCTCCGGTCATTGTCACGGGGAAGGGTCTGACGTTTCCTCTGCCCAGGTTCTCCCTCTTCCTCTGGTTGCTGAAGAGCTTGAGCTCTCGTTTCTCCTCATCATCCAGACTGTTGCAGTATCTCACCTGCTCACAACAGCCCAGGTCAAAGGTGTCATGAAAAGGTGAACATGTAAAGGTGCAAACATACATGCACCGTGAAAGGTGACCTTTTCAAGCTGATCATACCTCATTGTCATGGGGTGGAAGCTGATGCAGGAGCTGTTTGATGCGATACTTCTCTCCAGGACTGTTCACGTATGGTACTTTATCTTCCGGCAAAGAGCTGTAATACTGATGGACCTGGAACAACAACAGAGAGAGAAACAGCTGTTGGGTTATTCTCAATTCTCTTTCACTTAAAATAACAACAAAAAAAAAAATTTTTTTTTTTTAAATCAATCAAGCTTAAATGCGTAGGTTTGAGTGACACATTTGGCTTTTGTGTGAAAAAAAAGAGAAAATAAATACATAAAAATATTTATTTATTTAATTAAATAAAAAAATAAATAAAGAAAAATTGCAAATATAAATGAATAAAATAAATATTAAATTGTGAAAAAATATAAATTGAATGCTAAATAAATACAATTTAAAAAACTACTCAAAACAATAAATAACAATTCTATAAAATAAAACAAAGCATATTAATATATATTATATTTTGTCAAAATTTAGTTGTTTACATATTCTTATTAAATGACTTGATTCTTATTAATTAAACCTTATTTAAATGTTTTTATATGATTTTTTTTATAAGTGGTTTACAATTTAAGACTTTATTTTAAAAAACAAAAAAGGTTTTCTCTACAAAGTCAAACTCTAGCTTTGCTCTAAAAGGTTCTTTCTGTGAGCCAATCAGCATTTCCAAGGCACACACAAGGACCAATCAGGATTTTTATCAGCTTTCTTTGTCATTTTGCGGGATTGCTCCATTGACAGTGGGAAAGACCAGAAAAAAAACCCCACAAAATCAAGTCGAGTAAATAATATTGCACCATACAAAATTGAGAAGAAACCTGAAACTGAAAAGATTTGTGTAAATGTGATGAATATAAAAAACATATATATTAAATGTGAAATATATTTTTATTTGTGTATATATAGTCAGTTAATTTTTTTCTGTGTTTATTAAACTCATTTGATCAAAAGAAAATAATAATAATAAAAAATAAATAAAATAAAAATCAGCACACTGCCACTTTAACTGTCAATTTTTGTTTAATGTGACAACGTTTCGACCTACATAGTCTTCATCCTTTTTAAACTCATTTGCTCATTGTCTGTGTTCTTTAAATTAAAGAAATAAAATTTTTAATTTTAATTTGATATTAAGTCTTAAAGGGCAAATACTTAATTTAATTTTTGAATCATATAATTCAATAATTCATATAAAGTATATAATTCAATAAATATTACCATATTAATTACATAAAAGTAACATCTGCACTGGAAAAAATATTTAGCACAGTCTTGTATACTTAATAGGCATGGGTATACCATTAGATTCTAAAGGTATGATAACCTTGGATAAAAATATCACGATTTTATTTCAAATATTTTAGAGCAGTAAACACGTCAGGCTAAATGAGTTATTGAATTTCACTGTCTGCATTGGTTTTAAAAGATTTTTTTTTTACAATTTAAAACGGCATCATTTCTGCTAGAGATTTTGTAGTATAAAAAAAACAAAAACAAAAACGCACATAAAAAATCTTACTCATACCTTAGGAACGGTATTGCAAAAACTTTCGACGGTTTAAAAACCTTGACTTTTACAAACTGCAGTATACCTTGAAAACGCTTGTTGTCCCATGCCTAATACTTAATTTGAACAAGAAATAAATTAATAATAAACATTAAATAAATGTTATAGAAAACATTTTTACAACACCAATTTTTTTTTTTTTTTAAGTTTATGAATAAGCAGACTGATTGTATTTCTTAAAAAGTCACACTCCAAGTAATGATCTGCTAGACAGAACCATATAATTTAAGCAGAAAATGACTTGAAAATGACTATCTGCATTTGAGGGTGACGCAGTGGTGCAGCAGGTAGTAAGAAGGTTGCTGGTTCAAGCCTCGACTGGGTCAGTTGGTATTTCTATGTGGAGTTTGCATGTTCTTCCTGCGTTCGCATGGGTTTCCTCCGGGTTTCCCCCACAAGTCCAAAGAGGTGAAATGGGTAAGCTAAACTGTCCATAGTGTATGTGTGTGAATAAGTGTGTATAAATGTTTCCCAGTGATGGGTTGCAGCTGGAAGATTAATAAAGGGACTAAGCCAAAAGGAAAATGAATGAATGAATAAATATCTGCATTTGCCCTGTTTGTTTTACCCCAACTTGCAAATTTAAGGGAATTTAGATTTTTTACATTTAGAGTACATTTAGGGTCACTGTCATGTTAATGTATGAAAGAGACCTGCTATATGGAATGCAAAAACTTTGAAGCTCAATATCTCAAAATTGTTAAGAATGCAGATAGAACCTTAAAACTCCAAGGTGAAGATATATAAAAAATTCCACTAAAGCAGCAGCAGGTTTAAATGCAGGTAAGTCTTGTTTTCAGATGGTCTGTTAATCAAATACTGTGATTTTGGCACTTAGGTGATGGTGTCACAAACACAGAGGTGGAATTTCTACATGGCTGTTGTTATTAACCCCTTCCCCCCATTTCGACCCCCGTCCTTGCCTTTCACACACAGCTATAACAGTCAGAGTGATTTATGAAGGAGCAGAGAATGAGTTAATGGAATCGGCCCCTTTTATCCCCTGTGTGCTGCTTATGTGGAGGATACTTTATCTCAAAATAACAAGCATTTAAGACAGAGCTCATCCCAACTTAATTAACCATACAAGCTTTACATCTTTGGATGAAAATGTCAAATCAAGAAAATCAAGAAAGGCATCTAATCAACGTTTATCTATTTAAGTGTAATTAAATCACACATTTAATTTCCTAATTGGCCAAATAGTGATAACACGAGTCTATGGTTTACTATATAATGTAATTGTCTGGGGAGTCATTTTCTAAAAAATGCAAACAGGCCAGTAAAGAGTCCAGACTTAGCAGGAGCCTCAGACCACCCGTCCAAACCTATTACACAGATCTGATGCCTAATGATTTAATCTGATATACAGCGGGGGCCATCTGCCTCTGTCGCCATACCATAATAATCAACAACCAGAATAAAAACATGATAAAGAGCAACTGAGACATAAAAAATAATGCTGCAAATAGTTTTGCTACAGCTTCAAAACAATTAAATCCATTAAAACATTTTTATCATGTTTGTTGACCTGGCAAATAGCTGAAACAAAACTATTTAAGTACTAAAATCACCAAAGGTGGAAATAGAAGTCAAATATGCCCCTATTCATTAGTCTTTACAATATGTACATTTTGACAAAAATCCACAAGCAAGAATAAATATTTAATATTTAAAAGAACTATCTAATTAAACATATAAAAAATGTATATATCAAAATAAATTAATCACTAGTCCTGAGAAGTATAGTAATTAACATATCCGTTCGTTAAGACTCAACAAATGGTAATCATAAACGTTAACAAGCGCTGTATTATTTACGAAAATCACGATATATACATATACATACACAAACACACACACACACATGTGTGTGTGTGTATGTATCCTTGCCTAATATCTGTTGGGCAGAAAGAGATACATTTTTTAAGAATTATAAAAATATTGGTGTCTGTGATGCAGCAAAGTATCATTTACTTTAATGTGTAATATGACTAAAAAGTGGTTATTTATATAAGCAAATATTTTCTTAATTCAAATGAGTAGCGGTTTGGATTTTGAAACAGTATTCCATACATTATGACTTAACAAGCGAATAGCTTTAAAAAAAAATCATGAAAAAAATGTCCCTTCACTTCCATAAGAAACACTGTTTTGTAAAGCCATTTCTAATAAATTAATTCAACAAAACATTGTACTGGCAACTTCTTGAAGTCAGTGTGAAGAGTTTTAAACTGTTAACTTTAAGTCATGCCATTACAATATTAATGCTGGGCAAAGATTAATTATGCTTAATTGTATCCAAAATAAAAGATAATTTTTAAGTAATATATGTATATATGTGTATATATATTATATTATTAATATATATATTAAGGGTGTAACGATACGCGTAATCGTATTAAACCTTTCGGTACGAGACTTTCGGTTCGGTACGCATTACGAACCGAACGATTCGTTTCAGACTAATATCTAAAAAGATAAAAGAGATTTAGTACAAAATATAAAGTTTTCCGTGCAGCAACCTTCAATATGGCATCCCAAATGATGTGACAGACAACATGCTGCCTTCCCCGCAGTCATGTTAAACAGTAGAAGTATGCACTCTTAGCAATCTTGCTGTCTTCTGTGTGAGCCTGCTCGTGCTGGCTCCGCCCCCGTTGCTCCAGCAACCCTGGACACTGACACAAAACAGCCAAAACAGGTTGCCTGGTACTAATATATACCTACATACACAAACATGGACCACCCAGAAATATGATAAAAATGACTTTATTGCATATACATAGCTGTCAAGAAATCAAAATAATCCTTAATCCCTACACTCAAAAAATGACGTTTGCGAAAACACGATTCTTGAATATTTTTTTGTCACAACTTAATCATTTTATGTTAAATCCACTTAAATTTGCTAGTTAACTTAATTCCTTCATGATGTCCCAACACAAATGGATTGTTTGGAACCAATCAGTGTATGTACAGCAGTACCGCCGCTCGCTATACACAGAGTATGCAGGCTGCATAGGGCCTCAACTCCGGCAGGGAGCACCATCTCGGCTGCTTAAAAAAAATATTGATATTTATTTAATAATATCCTCATAAACTGAGTGTGAAATATATATAACATGATAAATATAACATTGATAACATGTTAAATACATTTTAAAAAATGACGGACACAAAAAACAAACTAGCGATGTAAATTTTTTCGTGTTTACGTGTGCGCGCGCACGTGGCCCGGTCCACTTATCTTTGCGACTGCTAGCAGTATATACTTAAAATTGATGCAAGTTGCAGCTCTATGCCCGTGAAAAGACAACAGCAGTCTGGAGCCGAGAAGAAGAAAAAAGTACAAGATGAATCACATGTATCACTTTCAGGTAACTTCAATGAATCTGGAAAACATATTTTTGGTTAAGTAAATTAGTGATGCTAATGTTTAAACTTCTCATCAATTGCACAAATCTGCCTTTGTGTTGTTGTTCACGTTCAGTTTCTTGCTTTGCTGCTGTACATTGTGCTTTAAACTATGACA